GAGAATTAGAACTGAAAATAAAATAAAATTGAATTAAAAAAACCAGTTCTCTGAAAAAATGTACACATGGCACATTTTTAAAGTTTAATCTATATTATTAATATTCTGTCCATTACCTTCTTAAGTCTAGACAATCCAAACAATAAATCAAGCCTTGATTTTTAGTATTTGCCAATTTCTAAGGTGTAATTTACTTACACTGAAATTTTAACAATTGTCTGAGAGATAGAGATGAGGGAGTTAACTAGAAAGTCCTGCCTAAGGGGAAGGACAAAGGAAATGGTTGAGAAATAATGACCCAATACACGTGAAGGTGAGGGCTGGAAAGAGAAAGTAACTAGCCCTCTCTTCACTAATTCCATGACACCACTCAGTTGGTGCTAGACCTATGTATCTTTCTTTGTTAGACTTTTTTTTTCAGGGATATTGATACATCTTCCTCTTACTCTACATTTATTTTATTTAATTTGTGCAAAAGCTTTTAAACTTTCTGCAGCCAAAATTGTCTATTGTCCTCTTTAAATTTTCTTTATCCATTTAGCTATGAATTCTTTCTTAAGTGAAACTGACAGCCAAATATGTTGGGGCATATGAGTTCATTAGGGTAGGATAATTCCAGTACAGAAGCCCAGGAACTCTAACAATAAAGATCAATATGAGTTGCCTGGGAGCTCTAAAAGGTTAAATGACTTGCCTCGGGTCACTTGGCCAGTGTCATTAGAGAAAAGTCTACAATCCAGATCTTCTAAACTCTTTATCTCCTACACCAGAGGTTTCAAACATGATGTGATGGGCCTCATGGTAGTACACAGCACTCCTGAGACTAGCCCAAACTAGAATAAAATGTAATTGGGAAATATTTAACAAAATAAATAAAAACACAATAAAATACAGATAATATTTATACATTATAAATATAGATCGATATACAGTTGGCAGGGAGCCTTACATTGTTTAAGGACTTACAGTTCTACTTGAGTTTGACACCACTGTCCTACACCCCCAACAAACCAGTCTCTCATCAGACGTGATCTCATTCATCCAATTCCCAATCTCCCTAAATGTCCTGTCATTTAGTCCATACATTATTTTATCCACAAGAACTGCACTGGAGACCCAAAGCAGCTCAGCCTATTTGTCTTTATTTTTTTTTTAATATTCTAGATAGAATGAAGTCTGTGGTGGCCTAGTGATATGAACTCCTTGAGGACAGTTAGATGACCATGATCATCTCTTCATTTATATTGGGTTTCAATTCTCTACTAACCGGTTTTATTTTCTCCTTCCTGGTTCAAAGATCATTAGCCTCAGAGGAGAAAAACAAAAGCAAAAATAAGAGGTGAGTCATTCATTCATTTATTAATATATTTATTTATTTAGCATTCAGTCAATGAGAATTTATTAAGTATCTATTGTGTGTCAGACACTGTGCTTTGCGTTGTAGATACAAAAACAAATGTGAAAGTCTCTATCCTTAAAGAGCTTATATTCTTTCAGAGGCAAGGTGTGCATATGTAAGTATATAGCAAATAAATAGGAATAGAGACTAAACTTGTTATTTCTTTCTTTCTCTTTCTTCCTCTCTCTTTCCTCTTTTCCTTTCCTTCCCTCCCTTTCCCTCTTTCTCCACCTCTCTCTTTCCCTCTTCCTTTATCTTCCCCTCCTTCCCATCATGCCCCTCCCTTCCCCTTCTCTCTCTCTCCCTCTTTCTCTCCTCATCTCCTCCCTCCCTTCTCCTCCTCCTCCTCTTCCTCTTCCTCCTCTTCTTCTTCTCTCTCTCACATTGCTACTTGAAATAAATAAACAGATAAATAAATAATTACAAGGTGATTTTTAGTGAGGAGGTGAGTAGCTGGGGGAATAGAATGGTGACCTTTACACTGAGTTTTGAAAGAAACAAGGGATTCTGAGAGGCAGAAATGAGGAAGGAGTGCATTTGAGGTATGGGGGATAGCCCATGCAAAGATGCAGAGATGAGAGGTAGAGTGTCATGTGAGCATCAGCAAGAAAGTAGTTTACTCTTCCCACTTCACTCCCTACTGTCTGACCATCATCTTTACCATTTCATTGAATCTGATCACTCCAAGGTCTCCAGCGTATTCTTAAAAGGTGAAACTCGAAAAAGAAACTCTTTTAGTGACAAAACAACTTTGGTTTTAACAGAGTAGCAGAATTATTTGGGGAACTTACAAAAGCAGTGATTTAAAAATATACTTCCCATTGCCAGCATATGACATTCTAGATAAAAACCAGAAAACATGGGTTTTCTGCAAACCACTTTAGTACCTTTGTCAAGAAAACCCCAAATGGGGTCATGAAGAACTGGACATGACTAAAGTGACTCAACAATAACAACAACAACAAATATATGTGTGTATATATACATGCATGTATATCTCTATATGTATAATAACATTACACTATATATACCCAATACACTATATACAATGTGTATATGATGGAACCCTAATAACGCTGCCCCCACCCCCAATATTCTAACTTCCTTATGGGCCACACAGAACAGGCATGCCCTGATTTGACCACACAATCTCACTTTAACCATATCACAGGCCCCCAGACTCAATACAGCCATTGCCTCTAGCTAGCCTCTGCTCCCAGATCCAATTCTCATGTTTAAATAGGTGTGTCCATGTACTAAGCCACAACCACATCATCCATTTAGCCCAAGACAGGACCACAATACCTAACTATCCATCTTGACCACACAGGATCACAACAGAATCAGAAAGCAGCATGACTAGGATGTTTGACCATAGAAAGGGCTTCCCCTGAGATAACGCCTGAGCAGTAATAGTAAAGAACTGACCTAGAGTAAACCTATAATGTAGAGAGATTTATTATAATATCATTTTCCTACATAAATGCCCCACCTTTGGTTTTTCTGTATGTATTATGGGTAAGCACATGTGCAGTTCTACTGAGGCTGGGACCCCTCCCCTATTACCTAATCTCTTAACAACCCCCTCTCCTATTACATAAATCCCTTGACAAACCTCTCCTGTCTTTTTAATATACATAATTTCTGTTGTGTAATCAACATCATTACACTGTAAAATTGCCTGTCTTGTTTTACTAAGTTGCTGGTTTCTCCTTGAAGCCCAGCCTGCTGAAGAACTTCACTCTCAATAAATGCCTTCACTTGGATTGGAGGTTGTCTAAATCTGAATTCTTTGAGACATTCCCGCCACAACAAACCATGGAACCACAACATTTATGTATATATAATATATGTGTATTTATGTATATACCACATATATTTTATGTAATATATGTACATATCTATTAGTTTATATACATGGATTTTATTTTCTTTGTAGTTCATTTGGCATGTTGGTAACTGAGATCTTTTCTTGAATCATTCTTTAAGGTTGAAAATCTATTTATTAGGGGAGAAAATGTCCAGTGCCTAAAATTTGTCATTTTTCATTAGGATATGGATGGCTTATGGAGAAATAGTGTGGGGTTAGTGGATAGAAAGCTGGCCTTGGGTCAGCCCCTGCCTCTTCCATCCTGGCTGTTTTAATCTCTTAGCACTCTCAGCAACTCTAAAACTATACATTTCAGGGAAGGCACCATTATGCTTTGGTGGAGGCAGTTTTCTCCACCAATGAAATCACAGGCCTAAGCCTAAACAAAAAGAAAGAACTATATAGGTCTGAATTAGGATTGAAGATTTAGAGCTAGAACATACTTCAGAGGTCATCCTTCTGGTCTAACTCTGATTTTACAGATTAGGAAAAGGGCCTCGATGGAGCAAAGTCACAAAAACCACATGAAGCAAGAGTCAGAAACTGAACCTGGGATGGCTTTCCACTGCATCAATAGAAGGGAAGGAAAAGTAGATGAAGAGGTAGGTTATGTGGCTTTTTTTTTAAGTTTTTTGGGGGTTTTTTTGTTTGTTTTTGGGCAATTGGGGTTAATTGACTTGCCCAGGGTCACACAGCTAGTGTCAAGTGTTTGGTCTGAAGCCGGATTTGAACTCAGGTCCTCCTGACTTCAGGGCCAGTGCTCTATCCACTGTGCCACCTAGCTGCCCTGGCTTTTTTTTCATGGAAGAGTTATGTCATATTTGAGCCATAGTGAAAATCTCTTCATTTATTCCTTAGTAGTTAAATGGCTTGAGAAGAGATAGCTGCTCTTTACATTGTAATTATGTGTGTATGCATGTCTGTACACACATATATGTGCACATATGCATATGTGTGTATGTATTGTGTATACACACATTCGTGAGTACATACGTACATACATACATACATACATACATACTTATATCAGCTACGTGGCACAGTGGATAGAGTGCCAGACCTGGAATCAGGAAGGCGCATCTTCCTAAATTCAGTTCTGGCCTCAGACACTTACTAGCTATGTGACCCTGGGTTAGTCACTTAACCATGTTTACCTCAGTTCCTCATCTGTAAAATGAACTGGAGAAGAAAACGACAAACCATTCCAGTAATTTTGCCAAGAAAACCCCAAATGGAGTCACCAAGAGTCAGACACAACTGAAATGACTGAACAACAAATATGGGCAACAAATATGATATACACGATACATATATACATACACATATATTTCTATAGGTATAATCACATTAATGTATATATAAATATGTATGTATGTACATAAATATATATACACATATATATACATATACACAAATATATATATACATATACACACATATATAAAACTAATTTAATTACTGGTATAATGCTAATAACACTAATTTTGGAGTAAGAGGACCTGGATTTGAATGTTAGGTTTGTTGCTTAACCCCACTTCCCCCCATGACCTTAGGCAAGTCAGTTAACTCTGGGTTTCAGTTTTCTCTTCGGTAAAATTAGAGGAGTTGATTTGGTAATTTCTCAGGACTCTTTCAATTGTAAACCTAATGGGCCAAACTGATATGCAAATTAGCTTCCTATAAAAACAGCTTCCGTGCGGTTAGACAAGCCACTTTTCTGAACCTAGGTGATCCACCTCATAAAATACAGCCTCTCGGCTGCCTTCGAACTTTTAGCGCCGTCCTTAGTTCCAACGAATGGGCGAAGTTATTGCTGACACTGGTCCTCGATTTCCAGAGAAACGAAAGTGAAAATGAGATTAATAGGACGTCTTTTCAGGGAATTACAAGAAACCAAAAGATTTCACAGAACTAGATCATTTTATTGCGACGCTGAAGAGGTGATAAACTCCCCAGTGGGAGGGGACTAGGTAGGACCTTTGCCGAGAAGCGATCTGACTACGTGAAGGAAGGAGGAGGGAGAAACTTGGCTGAAAGCTGAAATTCCATCCGTGCCAGCTGGTGAGCATCTATAACTCTGTGTGTGTACAGTTTTGTCTGTGAGCCAAAGAAAGCAGAGTTTACTTCTCTCCCAAAAAGGAGGGCCAGAATAGGCGTCAGAAGATCTTTGTTCGAATCCCATCTCTGCCACTATTTGAATGAACCTGGGTAAGTAAGTAAGCTTCTCTGAGTCTCAATTCTCTCATTAATAAAATGAAACATTTGTACTATCTGACCCCAGAGGGTCCCTTTCAACCCTAACTCTATGACTCTAATGGAGAATGGTCCTTATTAGAGGTGTAGTTCAGAATATGATGAGTTGGGAGCAAGAGCCAATGAAATGAACTTTAAGGCTGGTGCGCTCTTGGGGTTCCAGAGGACAAAGGGACTTAGGCTCTTTCCCAGGCTATGATTAAGTTTGCTAATTAAGCAACCTGGGGTCTTTTTGTCACACCTGCTTGCCTCTCTGGGTTGCTCCAATAATTCTGCTGTTGAGCTGGAGAACAGCTAATGAAAGGAACACTGGACTGGAAGTAGGTCCTAGTTTTTTTTAGCAGTATTACTCTGGGCAAGTCTTTTACTCTTTCTTTGCTTCATTTTCCTCAACTATAAAAAGAAGTGGTTGGCTGACTTCTGAGGTCTTCTCCAAATCTAAACCCTACCTGTGTTTCAAAGGCTCATACATCTAGAGCTGGAAGGGAACTTAGGTTCTCTAGTCCTAGTCCTTTTATTTTACAGGTGCAGAAACCGAGGCTGAGGTGAAGTGACATGCCCAAGGTTACATAGGCAATACACTGCAGAGCAGAGATCCCATCCTCTGACTCCAAATACAGTGATATTTTTTCAATAGCAGAATACTGTCTCTGATCTTGGGCAAGCTATTTGACCCCTTCTAAGTTTCAAATTCCTCCTCTGTGGAATGAAGGGTTAGACTATCTGATCTCTAAGCTTCTACTCAGCTCTAACACTCTATGACATTCAGTGCACATAGCCATATTGGAAAGAAATAGACTGGCCATGTCACCAAACCAGGCATAAAAATAAAAAAAATTAAGTAATTAATTTCTTAATATTAAACATTAAGTTATATTTTTAGCAACGCTGATAGGCAACATCAAAGGGGAAACCAGCATTGAATCAGAGCTGGAAGGAACCTGGGAGATCAATTCACCTAACACTCAAGTCCTTCTCTTTCTACTATACCACACTGCTTCCTTTTTACTTTTGAGGATGGGAAAGGGAAACAGAAGCCAGCGTTTATTTTAATTTTTTTTTTGCCAATATTTAACAGTAACTAACCTTTCTATGGGCAGCTAGGTGGCACAGTGGATAGTGTGCTAGGCCTAGAGTCAGGAAGACTCATCTTCCTGAGTTCAAATCTGGCCTTAGACACTTACTAGCTATGTGACTCTGGGTAAGTCACTTAACCTTGTTTGCCTCAGTTTCCTCATCTGAAAATGAGCTAGAGAAGGAAATGGCAAACCACTCCAGTATCTTTGCCAGAAAACCCCAAATGGGGTTACGAAGAGCTGGACACAACTGAAAAATGACTAAACAACAACAAGCACTTTTCTAGAGAGCTTAAGGCACTTTTCTCACAACTGGCTTGGGAAGTAGGTAGTATACAGTTTATTATTCCCATTTTACAGATAAAAATCCTGAAGTGAAGTGACTTATTCAAAATCACATTGCTAGATGTGCAGGAACCAAATTGAAATCTAGATCTTTCTTGCCTCCTAATTGTTCTCTTTGCTTTTACTCTGTGTCCTCAATCTAGTCTTTCCTCCACACAACTGCCAAAATATCCTTAAGGTACCATTCTAACTATGCCACACCCACAGAGGGGGAAAAACTCTTTAATGGTTCACTAATATCTTTGGGATAAAATACAGAGATACTGATTCCACAAATTGGCTTATGGGACTCTCCACAATCTGGTTTCTCCAGCTTTCAGCCTTGTTTCATATTATTCCCATTCACATACTCTATGTTCAAATCCCAGCTAAAATCCCACCTGCTCCATCCCCCTTAATACTTGTGCCTTCCCCCTAATGAATGTTTCCAATATATCCTGTATATCTCTTGTCTGTACCTTATCTCTATCATTAGACTGAGCTCCTTGAGAGCAAGGACTGGATTTTGCCTTTCTTTGTATCCTAGAGTTTACCAAAGTGCCTGGCACATAGTAGGCGCTAATAAATACTTGTTGATTGATTGATCCAGACAAAATAGAATGCTAGTTGTTCCCTATATTTATGTTCCATCTCCCACCCTTGAACATTCATTCACAGCTCTTCTCCATGGCTGGAATAAATTCTTTCGTCATCTCTATCTTTGAGAATCTTTGTTTTTGGAGCAGCTAGGTGGCACAGTGGATAGAACACTGGACCTGAAGTCAGGAGGACCTGAGTTCAAATCTGGCCTCAGACACATAACACTCACTAGCTGTGTGACCCTGGGCAAGTCACTTAACCCCAATTGCCCTCACCAAAAAAAAAATCTTCATTTTCCTTTAAGATTTATCTTATGCGACATATCCTCCATGAAGTATACATTGATGCCTGAATTGTTAGACCCTCTCCTCCTTCGAATTACCTTATATTTATTTGTGTAAATTCTGTATTTCCCCAGGAAACATAAGCTCCTTGAAGATGGATATTATTGTTTTTTTCTTTATATCCTAGACACTGACCCAGAGTAGAAGTTTATTAAATATTTATTGAATTGAATAATTAAATTTATTGTATCCCTACTGTGTGTGGAGCACTATGCCCTGGTAGGAGATAACAAAATTTAGATAAGATATGGTTCCTGCCCTCAAAGAGCTTACAATCTACTAGTCTCTCTCTCAAGGGTTACATGAGTTTGAGTTTACTGAATAATTATAAAAATCAAAGATGCCTTTGAGAAGAGTCGAAAAAAAGCACCTTCTTCCCTTCTTTGCAGAGATAGGGTATAATGGGTATGGAATAATAATAGCTAACATTTATATACCATGTTAAGGTCTGCAATGTGCTTTACATATTTTATCCCATTTTATCCTCACAACAATCCTAGGAAGTTGGTGCTATTGTTATCTTCATTTTACAGATGAAAAAATGGCAGCCAATAGAGGTTAAGTGACTTGCCTAGGGTCACACAGCTAGTAAGTGACTGAGGCCATCCATGTATAAACACAGGTCTTCCTGAATACAGTGCTCTATCTACTATGCTAACTAGCTGCCTCTACTATTGTACATTAGATTGCATATAGTATCAGATATGGTAAATGTCTTGGTGGTTTAAATTTTTTTATTTTTTCTTTTTTTTCCTTCTGGCTTGCTGAGTAGAGGATGAGGAAGGGATATATTTGAAAATTAAGCTGATGTAAGAAATATGATATGATATGATCAACATTAAATGATATGATAAACATATCAAAGGGATTATGACATAATTTCTCAGATTTAATGATATCATGAGTGAGAAGGTCTGAAGGGAGAGAAGCACATTTCAGCTCAGAGCAAGAATGAATTTCCTTATATTTGAACTGTCCAATGGTCTGCCTAGACAGGTAGACAGGTGGGTTCCCCATTTATGGAGATCTCAGGCAGAGGTTGAGTGGCAATTTGTCAGTGCTATAGTAGAGGACTTCTTCACCTTTTCTGTGGTCATACCCCCTTTGTTGGTTTTTATGAAGCTTAGGGACTTCTTCTTAAAATAATATTTTAAAATGCATAAAGTAAAATACACAGGATTAGAAAAGAAACCAATTCTATTGAGATAGTTATCAAACCATTTTTTTAAAGTTTGGATCCCAAGTTAAGAACCTCCACTATAGAGGAAATACTTTTTTTCATCTTTGTAACCTCAGCACCTAGAACCTGCACATAGCAGGATTTAATAAACATTTTTTGAATTGAAAGTGCCTGACCATGAACAGTGTCCTAGTTTAACAGCAGCTATAGATAAAAACCACAGGGTAGGAATGCCAGTCAGTGACACAGGCTTAAGACCTCTAAGGTCTTAAAGCCACATCTCAAAGGATAGGGCAGGTAAGAGAAGAAAGCATCCCAATGGGAGCTGATGTTTGGGGGGTGCCAACCTAACTAAATGCAGAGACAGTCAATCACAAGAAGCTTGACCACCAAGTGATGATTTTTTTTAAAAAATCCACAGTAACTAATGAAGACAGTTTACTACAGATTAAAGAAGGCTCTTTTTAAAAATCATCAGTGGAGGGAATTCTTAAAATACCGAAGTATAAATTCTTCACTTTTATGCCTTAAATTCTTAGCAAGGAAGAACTCATTAGGATAGGAAATAGTGATGCCTGAAGCAAACTGGATTCTTTCCAAAGATGTGATTTAAGGGACTGGGAAAGTGCCTGTCCTTGACCCCAAAAGACTTCCCCACAATGATTGAAATTATTCATTTCATTTTTTTCTGCTGCTTGAAATTCAATTAGTAATCAGCAATTATCATGCCTCAGTTAAACCTGATTTCACACACTAGAGATTGATTTGCACTAATAAATGGCTGATCTTGGGAGACAGGTTAGGGAGTGGGTCTGATAAAGGTCTCATTTCCAAAATATATAAAAAATTTATTTAATTTATAAGAATTAGAGACATCCCCCAACTGATAGTTAAAAAATAGAAAAATACACTTTTCAAAGGAAGAACTAAAGGCTATCAACAGCTATATGAAAAAATTCTCGAAATAACTAACAATTATAGAAATGCAAATGAAAGCAACTCTGGGGTTCCATCTCAAACACATCAGTTTGGTAAAATTGACAAAAAAGGAAAATGACAAATGTTTGTTACAGGGGTTTTTTCTTATTATTTTTTTCAATGGGAGAGTTGGGAGGGGGTGAAAATAGATTTTTGTTAATTGCTTATATGATGATATAAGTTTTGAAAAGTGGTTTACATATATCATCTCATTTGATACTCATAACAATCTTGTGAGGTAGGCACTATTATCACCTCCATTTTTCACATGAGGAAACTGAGACAGAGAGAGGTTAAGTGACTTTCACAGGACCATACAGCTAAATAAGAATCTGGAGCAGGATTTGAATTCAGCTCTTCTCAATTCCAAGGCCAGCATGCTATGCACTGGGCCACCTAGCTGCTTCTAAGTAATGTAGATAAATAGATAGATAGAGAGATAGATGGATGGATGGATAGATGGATGGATGGATGGATGGATGGATGGATGGATGGATGGATGGATGGATGGATAGATGGATGGGTAGATAGGTAGGTACATAGGTAGGTAGATAGATAGATAGATAGATAGATAGATAGATAGACAGACAGATAGATGGATAGATAAAAAATGCACACAAACAAATAAAGGAAGGGAAAAGGAAAATAAATTATGCCTGACCTTTTATGCTTTTAAAACATACACACTTCTAAATAAATTAATCGTGGGCCGGTGAACTCATTGCTTCTTTTCCTTGACTTCCTTAGGATGACCAAGTTTTTCCACAGTGTAATGTATCTGCATGCTAGGTGGCACAATGGATAGAGCACTGGGCTTGGAATCAGGAAGACATCTTCATGAATTCAAATTCAACCTCAGACACTCACTAGCTGTGTGACCCTGGCCAAGTCACTTAACCCTGTCTGCCTCAGTACCTCATCTGTAAAATGAGCTGGAGAAGCAAATGGCAAACCACTCCAGTATCCTTGCCAAGAAAATTCCAAGTGGGGTCATGAGGAGTCAGACACAACTGAAACAACTCAACAACAACAAATGTATCAATGAAGAGAATAACTAATCAACAACAGACCTTTCTGCTCCTTTGTACCTTTCCAAATTTCTGATGAAGGCATTATCGTATTGATATATCTGTTTCAGTTAGAAAAACTAACCAACCATCAACATTGCTTAAGCACCTAGGCACTGGAAATACAAATACAAAGTAATCCTCCACCTAGTTATGGAATTCTAGTCAGATGAAGCAATGTTCTTTTTGTGTGTCCCATAAATAGGTTGTTGCAGGAAGATGGGGATTTCGCTTGTGTTTGTGTTCATGTTCTCCTGGCATCTGCTGATTAATGGTAAGTGGTTAAATCTTTGCATTAAACACTGTCCTTAAGAAATCGTACTTGGGAACTATATACAAGAGTCATTATTAAAATTCTGAAGATTTTTTTTCCCTGAAAAATGCATTCCAAGAAAGAATTTCAGTGTCGGTGAAAAATCATAGATTGACCTTCTAGGATCATAGAATTTTGAGTAGGAAGAGAACCCAGAGATCATTTAGTCACACTGTTCTGATTCAAGGGCTCTGATAAAAGAAAAAAAACAGGTAATTGTTATTCTCACCAAAAATGAAGGGATTTGATTATTTCAAAGGTCATTTCTTCCTTTGAAAAAATATCCTCTGACTGAGTTAGCTTAATGACAGACTGAATGGAAGTTTGAGATGAGAGCTATGGGAATCTAACATGCAGGTTGGTGACATGCTTAGAATCAGAGAACACTCTCCTCATTTGGCCCAAGAACACAATGAAGATGGCTTCCGTGAAGTAAACTAGCAGGTAGACTGTGTAATGCAATGGAGAGTGTCTTGGATTTGGCATCAAAAGACTTGGTTTTACATCATTGACCTAGAAGGGATCCCAAATGCCAGCTAGTCTAACTCTCTTATTATTCCGAGGAGAAAACTAAGGCCCAGAAAGTCTTGCCCCAAAGCCATTGCAATATGTACTCTCCTCCTGACTTTGCTACTTGTCATGATAGCAATAATGATGGATTTGGAATCAAAGGACAGGGAGTTTCAATTTCAGTTCTACCACCTTCTACCTATGTGGCTTTGGGCAAGTAATTTATCCAATCCAGGTCTTAGTTTCCTCATCTATAAAAAAGAAGGAGTTAGGTGAGAGTATCTCATAGTCCCTACCAGGTCTAAATCTATGATCTTATCAGCACCAAGTCATCTTTCAGTAAATTATGGCATTTCATATTTGCACAGTGCTTGATAATCTTTTTTTGGGGGGGTGTTTTATGATTTTAACACTATTGTACAGCAGAGGGCCTTGGAATGTAATAAAACATGCTGAAAGCAATATACATTTTAAAGAATTAGACTTTTAGAAATCATTTGAAGAGAATCATTTCTATTTCTTATACTTACTGATGGTATGATACTGTACAAGTCACTTTATCTAAGCTTCAGTTTCGTCTGTAAATCAGGGACAATAGCATTTGCATCAAATATTTTTACAGAGTTGTTAAAATATCCCCTATTTCAATCTTTTTCCTACAGTTTGAAGGGTAATTAAGATTTCACATGATCTCCCTTCATACACTCTTTTCCAGGCAGACTGGCCTGGTAACTGTTCTGCATATGTGACATTCCATTGCCTTCCTCCCTGCTTTCACCCACATGAAAGGTCCCCAATGTATGGAATGCTTCTCCCTCTTTGCTTCTGCCTTATGGAATCCCTGGTTTCCTTCAAAGCTCAGGTGCACTTCCCATATAAGACTTTTCCAGTTATTAGAACTCTTTCCCTCTTCAAATTACTTTTCACTTACTTGTATTTTGTGTATATTGTATTTTTACTGTCTTCCTAGCTCTTACCAAAGAATGTAAGCTCCTTGAAGGTATGGGTGGTTTTATTTTTGTCTTTGTATTTTGTCTTTGCACATAATAGGCACTTGAATGTTTGTTAAATTAAAGTCATAGAAGTGTGAGTTGTGAAATGTCAGTTATGATTAATTGTTTCATAGCATGTTGTAGATACAATTAAATGTTTGCTGTATACTTTGAAAAGAATGTTTGTCTTCTAAAGTCTGTGATTTGAATTTTCCTGTCTGCCTCTCCTCCCTCCAGCCTTTTCTGTTTCTGTTCCCAAAGAGAAATATAAAGCATGTTATGGCAGCAATGTGACTATGGAATGCAGTTTTCCAGTGGGAGAAAAATTAGACCTGAGAGCCCTGACTGTTTATTGGGACAAGAAAGGAAAGTTTCTTGTGAAATTTGTTCAAGGTGAAGAAGACTTCAAAATCCAGAACAGCAATCCAAGATTAAGGCATTTGACTGACCAACTATTCAAGGGAAAATCTCTGCTTCAGATCACCAACGTGAAAGTAGAAGATGTTGGGGCTTACCGCTGCCTTATTGGCTATGGGGGAGCTGATTACAAGTGGATTACTTTGACCGTCAATGGTAAGAATGCTCCATAGCTAAAAAAAAAAAAAAGGGAGAGAGAGAGAATTTGATTTTTCACCAAAAAACAAACATAAAAACCACACAATAATAGAGTTAACTTCTGCATTGAAATGCAATTGGGAAATGCAGCTGATAACTTTCAAGACAGCAGTTTCAGTAGAGTGATGGTGGGAAGGTAAACTAGGTTGCAAAGAAGTGGGAAGTGAGCTATTGATGAAGTAGAGGCAATGAACATAGGTTGCTCTTTCTAGAAGTTTAGCAGTAAAGAGGAGGGGAGAGTTAAGACTATCTCTGGGTAGAAGCTGGTACAAGCAAAGGTTTTTTGGGATGGACCATGGAGATATGCTGGTAAATATTTAACAACTAGCTCTCTGGAAATGCAAGATACATTTCAAAGTTTTATCTTCATTATTAACATTTTTTTTTCTCAATCACTTTCTTGTCTAGACAATCAAGAAACTAATAAATCAAGCCCTGATTTGTAGCATTTCACAGCTTGAGCTGGCTCCAGGATATCCCTGGACGAAGGAGACTTGATAACGCTTATAAGCAGAGGGAAAGTAGCTAGAGGAAATGGAGAAGGCATATCAGAGAAGAGGGATAACTAATGAAATAAGACCTATAAAGAAGCAGAAGGGTATAGGATCAAGAAGCAACTTGAAGTATAGGGGGAAAAATTGTACCTAGAGTCAAGAAGCCCGAGTTTAAATATTAGCTCTGATAGTTACTAGCTGTGTGACTCTGGGCAAATCAGATTTCAGTTGTTTGTTTAGTCTGTAAAATGAGATGATCTAGATTCTATGATCTTATGACTTTATAGTGAAACCAATCAGCATAATTTGGTGACTTTCTCCAGTAGCCCTCAGTGACTGGAGGGAGAATAAGAGCAGAAAAGGTGGGTGGTGGGGGGATTACCTAGAACTGAGGATTAATAGAATGTGAACATCAAAAGATCATGTAGTTGAGGCTTTTTAAAGTGCTGAGCATGATGCCTGGCACATAATAATGATAACAATAAATAAATAAGGGGGCAGCTAGGTGGCACAGTGGATAGAGCTCTGGCCTTGGAGTCAGGAGCACCTGAGTTCAAATCCAGCCTCAGACACTTGACACTTACTAGATGTGTGACCCTAGGCAAGTCTCTTAACCCAACTGCCTCATCAAAAAGCAAATAATAATAAAGCTTAATAAATGCTTATTTCCTTTCTTCCTTCTTTTCTTCCTTCTTTCTTTCTTTCACCAGAAAGTGAAAATGGAATACAAGAAGTACACTGATTCCTCCTTTTTGACTTGTGGGATGAAGAGAATGAGAGGGCAGCCACCATTAGAGAGGGTTTCTAGGAAGGTCATGGCTTTAGAGCAGGGGTTCTTTACGTTTTTTGTGTCATGGGCCTCATTGGGTCTAGTGAAGCTAGAGTTTGAACTTAGGTTTCCTGATTTGCTCCTCATGGCAGGAGCAAAATTTTTGTCTTGTATCTCTAGCGCCTACCAAAGTGCCTTGTATGTAATAGTACAAATTCTCATTGATTGAGATTGACTTGAAACTCACTGCTTTTTCCACAGTTCAATGCTTCCAATGTTAGTAATAGAGATCTAACTACTTCTGAAGCAGCCTTTTCCATTGTTGGACAACTCCAAATACTAAAAAGTTGTTTAGTTGAGCTAAAATATGCTTCCTGTTCCTAGTCTTACTTTTGAGAAACAATTACTCTCTTATATGTTAAGCCTTTCAAACATTTGAACACAGCTGTCTTCTCTTTTTTTTTTCCAACTTCCTTCTATCAGTGATTTGAAAATATGTAATGCAAGAGGTGGCACAGTGGATAGAGTGCCAGGTCTAGAATTAGGAAGACTCATCTTCCTGAGTTCAAATCTGGCCTCAGACATTTACTAGCTCTGGGAAAGTCACTTAACCTTGTTTGCCTTAATTTTCTCATCTGTAAAATGAGCTGGAGAAGGAAATGGTAAACCACTCTAGTATCTTTGCTAAGAAAACCTTAAACAGGGTCATGAAGAGTCAGACACAATTGAAAAATGACTGAACAACAAACAACAATTCAAGAATAGGGAAATTTTGAAATAAAAATATAATTGCCTTAAAGGGTGGGATTCCCCAAAGGTCCACTTCCTAAAACAAAAAGATCCTAGGGTTAGTGGAAGTGAATTTTTTTCATATCATTATGAGCCAGGTCATTGACTTTATGTTCATGAATTGACACAGCTGACTGGTGCATTCACTTGAGCTGTGAAGGGGCAGTTTTAACATTGCTTATAAGGAGTTTCTTTATGGCCATGCTATTCCTTGAAGAAATTTTGGAGGTGGTGGATAACAGATGTGCTAAAATTGCATTTCATTCTGTTGTTTTAAAAGTTTTAATTGAACAAGTGTAGGGTTTTATATTTAGCCATGTAAAATTCATCTCATTAGCATCAGCCTCATTCTTACATGTGCCCAACACGGTCCTAGGTGCCCCAGAACTTCAGCTGTGAGATTAGTTAGGTCCCCTTAAGGTATTTACTATGTGTATGTGAATATTTGGAGACAATGCAATTAAAAATGTTGCAAGAAAGGGAGATGGCAGAGGGAGAGTCCCAGGGCCAGTTTAGGAAGGGTCCTAATTGCCTAACAGGAGAAAAAAATGGTATTTATCCAATATATTGACAAATTACTTGCTCTGCGTACATAGCTACTTTCTGGTTGGTTCCTCATAAGTTAGATAGCCCTATTCCTCTTTCCTCTTGATATATCATCCTGTTGCTTTTTGAACAACAATTATGGTGTGACATAGTGCTGAAACCACTGGACATGGGCTCAGTTCCGAGCATTGCCACTTATTACCTGTGTGACTTCAGGATGGTCACTTAAGCTCTTTAGGTCTCAGGTCCCACATCTGAAAGGGAGAATCTTGAACTATAGGACCTCTACAATCCTTCCAGTTTTAAATCTATGATCGTATGATCTTAACCACATGGGAGGAAGAAAAATAAGGTTAACATTTCCATAGTGACTTTATGACCTTTTGCCATTATCATTCTTTTTTCATGGGCGGAGGAAGGCATTTCTTCATTATGGGCCTACTTAAAGATGTTGCTAATCTATGTGCCCTGGATCTTATTAATGTCAGTTCTTTTTTGTGACAGAACTATTAGACTAGTAGATTAGGGGAGTACTGTAGATGCAATTTACCTAGATTTTAGTAAAGCATTTGATGAAGTCTCTCCTGTTTCTGTGGACAAGATAGAGAAATGTAGGCTACGCAATGGTACTAATGGATTGGAAACTAATTGAATAATCAGACCACAGCAGTCTTTAGTGACTTGATACTATCTTGGAGAGAAGTCTCTAGTGATGCTGAACATTTGTTTCGATGATTGGATAAAGGCAACAATGGCCTGATCATCAAGTTGACATATGTCATAAAGTTAGGAGGAACAACTAACACATTGGATGACTGAATAAAGGATCCAAGAATATCTCAATATGTTGAAAGTTCATTGAATCTAATAATATATAATTTAATCAGGATATATGTGAAGTGTTATATTTGGGCTCAAAAAACATCAACTTCACAAGAATAAGATGGGAGAAGTGTGGTCAACAATAATACATCTCAAAAAGAACTGGGAGTTTTAGTGGTCTGCTAGGTTAACATGAGATAAAAGCCTAAAATGACAGCTAAGAAAGCTAGCATACTATTGGCCTGCTTTAAGAAAGGCATAATACTTTCTAGGACTGAGATGGTAATATTACTGTTGTACTCTCCTCTTGTTAGAACACGTCTAAAATACTGTGGTCTGAACCATGAAGTCACATTTTATTAAGGAGATTGTTAAATTGGAGAGTGTCCAGGAAATGGGGATTGCGATGGCAAAAATAGTACAAATAATGTCATTTGAGGGACTGAAGGAATTGAGGATGTTTGGACTTGAGAAAACTTAGAGGGGGACATAGTTTTCTTCAAATATTGAAAGGATTGTTTCTTTGTTTTGTTTCATTTTGGCCTTTCTTTGCATCCTCAGCACTTAGTACATTACCTGGCATACAACCAGTACTTAATAAATGTTTGTTAACTGACTGAAGAAAGATTAGGCTTGTTTAGCTTGGCTCCAGAGGATAGGAGTAGGAGTATTGGGTAGAAGTTTCAGAAAGGCAGGTTTTGGCCCATTATAAAGAAAAAATAGGGGGAGAGACTGAACTTGTGATTTCTTTTGTATAGGAAATTTCCAGATAAGGAAACTCTTTCTACCCATGCAAGTTAAAATATTCTTGACAACTTATCATCTTAGAGAGCTGCCCAGAGCACTAAGAGATTAAGGGACTTGCTTGGAATAACACAGCATTGTCAGAGGTTGAACTTCTTAAATCTATGTCTTCCTGGCTCTGAGGCTAGCTCCCTATTCACTATGCTATTCAATGCCTCTCAGTTGCAATGCAAATATAAAAGAGGTGGCCTCAGGAAACAGCAGGTAGGTGATGCAGTGGATGGAGTGCCAGGCCTGAAGTCAATAAGAGACTCAGGTTCAAATCTAACCTCAGTCACTTATTAGCTGTGTGACCCTGGGCAAGTCACTTAAACCTATTCGTCTCTGTTTCCTCATCTGTAAAATGAACTGGAGAAGGAAGTGACAAACCACTCCAGTATCTTTGCCAAGAAAACCCCAAATGAGGTCATAAAGAGTAGGACATGACTGAAATAAATGAACAACAACAAAACCACAGGAGAGGCAAAAGAGCTTCCTTTGGTGGACAACTTCAAGAAAAGGGTGGATGACTACCTGTTGGCCAAATCATAGAGAAGATTCTCATTCAGGTAAGCGTTGGACTAGATGCTTTCTGAGGTCCTGTTTAATTTGGCCAGTCTATGATTCAGGGACGCCTGGGATGCCTCAGAGTTATTTCAAGGGATCCATGAATCCATATGCCCATCAAGAATTGTCATTTTGATCCTTACTCAGCTTTAACAAAATAAAATACCTTCATCTGATTGCCTACGCAA